CTTATGGTTGCGGTTTGCCTAACGTGCACTCGAAACTATGCGAATACCAACGATCTTACTTATTCTTCGATGGGCGTCACAATACCGAGAAGGCACAAGAAAGTTTTGGTCATCTTCTTTTTGGAGCCGATCCAAATGTGATCCAACCGATGAATGTCCGTGAGCTAGTGGTTTACCCAGTCGATGAACCTATGCGTGAGGTTTGGGTGCCGACAGCGTCAGCCACTGTCCAGGCCAGGGACTCAAGGTCATCTAGCCACGGTTATGAGTCCTACTGAGTCGGTGAAAATCCATCTCTTGGGCTCAGTCTGGTTTCTGAAAGGGTGACAAGTTAATTATATCATGATGTTTTAGTTTGCTACGTTTTCTTTTCATATAATAAAATATTGCTTTGCAATTCATACTCTGTATTGGAACAATTCGAAAGTCTATCACCAGCTCTACCTCTCATTTTCAAATCCTCTTTCACTAGTAATTGATATCAATGTTCCTAAACTGAAATGTCAATACTATTTATTTACTGTACTTCTATTTTTATAGTTTGTGCTACGAGATCACTCTGTAAATCAAGCGTTTTGTAAGGCTAACACTTCAATTTTAGTGGTATTTACTATTTAGAAAAAAAAAATTGAAGTTGTGGGCCAATAAATCTGACTCAGCTAATATTTACTTACTAGTATATTCACTTCATTTCATAAAAAACTAAAATGTCAATTTAATATTTTCGCAAATTATGAAATGATTGAATGTATATATGTTTATAATAATTACGTCTATTTCATCAATAAATAAATCTTTGTACAAGATCAATGTATTTTACATTAGTATTTAGCTATGTTCTTAAAATTGGTTTACGGCGTCTAGGTACCGTCGCCTATAGGTTATAGTCAAAGGACTTTTAAAATTTTTGATTTATGTGATTCAAATTGGTTTAAACTGTTCTAAATTGGTTAAATTGATCTAAATCAATCTGAATTGGTCTAATTGTTTTTAATCAAGCAATAATATTAGTGCAAATATATAAGTTTGTCTACTTCTTTTTGTAAAGCTAAGTTTTACAATTCATCCAAAAAGTTTATAATCAGACAAAAATTAAAATGTCTAATATAAATGTAAAATAGATCAACATTTGTTAACGCTTAAACTCTCGCTAGACCCCGAATAATCCGCATAGTCGCTAATCCTTTTTAAATCGTCTAGTTATCGCCTAACAGTTCGTAAACATTTCTACTAAACTCAAAATAGATATTAACTGTATTAAAATTCTAAAGTAATCTTTTTTTGTAACAATAAATCAAAATGACATTCTTTATAAAATACAAGGAGCATTAATATTTTTTTGGTTTTTGGAAATATTAAATATGAGAGTCACCTTGCATGTTTGTATATTCAAGTTAGATATGGTAATGGTATTATTTAACTTTGTGAGACTGAGTTTCTGTTGTAAGCACATGGGGTAACTCACGATTTGGTTGGAAGATGGAACCAAGCTACAACCTGGAATCAAAATATAGGATTTTTATGAGTTGTATGAGGTTTTTATGAAGCAAACAGAAAAAATGTGAATTTGAATCAAAAGATAATATGAATAAGAGCAAATAGAGAAGGGGTATATAGGTGGAGATGGGATCTTTGTTGCTGGACTTGAGTCACTCTCAACAAGGATCAATGGATGGAAGATGGAACCAGTCTTGCTGTACTTGAGTCACTCTCAAGATCGATTGGTGGATAGAGATGGAATGATGGACGCCACAAAGCTAGGTGAAAGGAGGCTTTGATAACTCTGGATGCTCAAGAGTTGCTTCTCATAACACTTTAAAGACTGAGAACAATAATTTTGACAAACTAGAAAAACTATATATTTCTTATTACTTTCAAGATGGGTTCTTTTACAAAGATGGACAACTGGAGATTATATAGGCTCTCCTAGGAGACTCTAGACAAGACCAAACAGTCATAAACAATACATGAAAAGAAAACAACTTGAAAATAAAGTTTAACCTTCAATGGAGATGATCTTGGAGAAATATGGCTGTTGGAATGAGATTTTCTTGGCTTTAAATGTGGAACTTTATTCCTTTTGAGTCTGGACGGTTTGAGGGGATAAGAGAGCTTCCTTGGTACCTTATGTATGGCTTGGAAGGTTCTGATGTCGTGCATAAGTTCAAGGAAAAGGAGCTGTTGAGAATTGATGGTTTTTGACTCTAAAAATGGCAAGTATGGTCTTGGTTGATTCTGAATAATCTGATGGATGCTGGTGCATTGTAGGAACGTCTCTGGCTCTTCTAGATGGTTGGATATGTACTCTGGAAGGTTGAGATGATATCTTGGTCGCCAATGTTTTGTCTGAAGCTGATTGAACCGGTTAGACTTCAAATCGGGCAAGTGTAGAACTGGTTTGATCGGTTTAGAAAATTGAGCCACAACTTCATATTTCCGTGGCCATTTCTCCTCATTCTGTTGTTGTTGGAAAGCTAATAAACTCCTCTTGACTTATATGATCGGCTTTGGTTCGGGCCATTCCTTCTTTGGGCTTGAATCTTATTCTAAAGTCGGACGATACTCACAGATGGGTGGGTTGGAAAACCTTTGACTTGTAAAATTCATATCTTCTTAAAATCTTCATATGTAATACCACGGTTATTATTGTTACCATATTTAGAAGGATTGTTGATTATTTCCAACAAAGAAGTGCGATAGTCGTAAAGGGTATTTGAATCCGGATAGTTCATGTTGACATGTTATAGCCGCTTTCAGCCATCCGGAACTTCTTGTAGTGCAAATCGATCAGTTCAGTGACTGATTTGTTACAAGATCCTATGTTTGCTGTTTCTAAGATCGATGCGGCTGGTGTACAATCGTAGGCTCTCACATTCAAGAATCCAAACTTCTTTCCCATTTTATACACTTCTTGGAAATACGTATATATGTTATATATATATATATATATATATATATATATATATATATATATATATATATATATATATATATATATCTCATTTGCTAGAACAAAAGTTAATAAACTTGAGATCAGATTTCGATTTTAGGCTTACCTCAGACCAACGGATGTTGTATTACCGATAATAAAATCAACTAATTCCACTTTGGCACTGAGGTTCGCAAGTGAAGAGGTCTGATTAAATAAGGCATAAATAAGTCGTTGCCTCTTATTTAAAAAGATAAACAGCTCTTGGCCTCTGCATCTCCTAGAGCAGATCTCAACCTCCTTTTAACGTGCTTGAAGTTTTTTAACTGTGTTCCTAAATCTATCACCTTTACGGTTAAGAAAAAAGGAGAGAGACTTCATTAGTCTTTTTTTTTTTAACTGTGTTCCTACATCTATGTAGCTGCTGGTGAACTGGAATGGCTGAGAGGTATTGTAGCTGAAAAAAGGGGTAGGCAATAATGAATAGCTTGCAGGTCTTGATGGGAGTCACTGTCATTTGTTTTGCGTGCTCTCGTTTTTTCTGAGTTCGAGGCTCTGTTTTTGTGTCTTGGCTCGAACGTTTGTGTAGGTTTGACATTTTTCAATTATTAAGACTTCATTAATTAAATCATCATCTTTTACTCTATTAAAATAGAGTCATTCTTTTTATCAACTGATATAAGTTATCATTTAAATTTGGACTCTTTCTATAGTGTTACAAATTATACAAGTTATATAGTTGATTGAACCGCATTACGTAAATTAAACTGGCAGTTATTTATGGAATAGAGTTTTGGGCTTACTTTTGTTTTTATGACAAATTATATAGTTTGGGTTTTGGGCTTAGTATTTAAGAAAAACTCAAAAAAACATTGAATAAATGTTCTACATTAATGGATAAAAAATCAATTACTATTTTAAGGCCCAAAAGTATTTACTATTTTAACAAAACAAAATTATATATTATTAATCACTTATTTAAATCATGTACTTTAAAACATGTTAATATTTTTTTATTTTAAATAACAATCACTCTATCTTGATAAATTTCAATGGTAACTTTTATAATAGTTTATTTTTTTTATTTTATAGTTTATTTTTTTATTTTTTCTTAAATAATTTACTGATTTAAAAAAAATAAATGTAAAGCAAAACTAAAAACCAAATCTAAAAATTAAAATCCAAAACCAAAAATTGAAAACGCATGTTATATTTTTGCTTTTGTTTTGTTTATTTACACAAAATAAACTATTGCATTTTTGAAAAATAAAAATTCTCATCTTTTCAGTTTTAAATTAGATGTTCGATTCTTTGAGATTTGTTTGTTGGTAATTATGAGTTCAAACTAACTCAGTGGATCTAAAAGCTAAAAACTCAAACCAAAAGCTGAAAATCAAAACTAGAAACTTAAAAATTAAAAAACCAAAAACCAAAATCTAAAACCAAATCTAAAAATAAAAACTGAAACTAAAAACTAATGCAAAGCAATCATCACCACAAATTTTGGATTACTGATTTTATACCAAACATATTTTAAATAAAGACAAAACCTAATTATATAAACTTTTAATCAAAAAAAAAATTTCGCGCTTTCAAGCGCGGATCAAAATCTAGTTAATACTATTAAAAAATCCTGTTTTTATCTACTGTATCAAAGTTGTAATTTGGATTTATTCATCTAACTTACATTAAATCACACGTAACTTACATAAAAATTGTGACTAATACCACTTTCCTCATACCACATTTTATCTATACCTTAACCATCTTTACCATCAAAACTTCAATAGAAAAAGACCTTTATGCCCTAAATAATTAAACATACCTAATCTACAATTCCGTAGGAAACTTGGCGATCCCAATCGAATCGAGCTCAGCGGCGGATGCGTCGACTGGGGAGAAGCTCGGATTCTACCATCGGTGACGGCGGAGGATCAGCCTACAGCCATGGCTAAAGTGCGGGAAGCTTGCGAGCTTCTCATCGATGACGACGACGACAACGAGGGTGTTTCAGATGAGGATAACGCGAGATGGATCAATTCTTCCTCCGTGGTAGAAGCTAAGGTCGATGGAGGTAGGCTCTGCATGACGGTGGAGGAGATGGGGAACGAGTTCGATGGTGGTGGTTTTGTGGATCAGAGTCTCAGAGTTCGTGATGTTATCAGACGTCATTTTTATGTTAACGGTGAGAATACCTTTTTCTCTGCTTTTTGAGAAAACTGTATTGCAAGTCTCTCTCAACAGTAGCTTTTGTTTTTTTGTTGTGTGTTATCTGTTTGCTTATACCTTTCTCTCTCTGTGTGTATTTCTCAGGGGAAAATATCCGTTTGGTGATTACATTGCTTACTCTAATGATACATTTACATTAACTGAAGTGAAGCATCTGTGGTGACAAAAAGGATGTGTGAAGAAGTATGGTAGGCGGCTTGTAATGAGGTTGGATGATTTTGAGAAGCCGGCTAAGAGTAATGTCTTATGTAGTAATTGAAAGAAGTGGCAGGAAGCTATTATATGGTTAGTGAGGAGAAAAACAAAACAAAAATTATACATCATTGCATCCTAAGTTATAATCATTACTTTTGGTTTCTTGGTCCAAATCTCAGGTTAGTTAGTTAGTTAGTTATTGTTGTTTCTGTGAAAGTATGTATAGGTAAACAAGCTTTCTGTTACTTGTTACGTCAGCATTTGCTGTCTGCATCAATGGATAAAACAGTTCGTTTGTGGAGCTTGTCCAGCCACACTTGCTTGAAAGTATTCTCTCACAGTGATTATGGTTAGTAGGTTCTTTTGCAGCTAATATTAATTTAAACAGTTTCTTTCTGTGCTTATCTAATTATTTGATCTATTGATTGAACAATGACTTGCATTCAGTTCAATCCGGTTGATGATAGATACTTCATCAGCGGTTCGTTAGATGCTAAAGTTCGTGTTTGGAGCATTCCAGATCGGCAAGTAGTTGACTGGTATGATCTTCATGAGATGGTCACTTCTGCTTGCTACACTCCAGACGGTCAGGTAAAACTAAACCTGCCATGTAATTGTTTGTAGTCAGTATCTTTTGGCTTTAAACAGTTTCCCTAGTTTTCTAAAGTATCTATTGAAACTTAAAGGGTGCGTTGGTAGGTTCATACAAAGGTAACTGTCGTCTTTACAGTGCAGCAGGTAATGGATGAAGTTTGTAATGTGATTTTGTTTTTTTGCTGTTTCCAATGTGTGAACATTATTAGTGACGTTTTTTGTTTGTTTCCTCTAGATAACAAGCTGCAACAGAAAAGCCAGATAAGTTTACAGAACAAGAAGAAGAAAGCTCATCAGAAAAAGATAACTGGTTTCCAGGTAATGCCAGAGTCACTTCTTCATAAACAAAATCCAAAAGACTTTACTTCAGGACGGCACTAAAAATTGCTTGCTTTGTTTCATTTCGTAACCATAGTTTGTGCCTGGAAGCTCATCTGAAGTGCTTGTCACATCTTCCGACTCACGGATCCGTGTTGTTGATGGAACTGATCAAGTTACCAAACTTAAAGGTAAAACAAACAAACAAAGTTTGAAGCTTTGTCTTCTGTTACTTCATTCACAAGCCAAAGTATCCATCTTTATAACCACACTCCTTACAAAGTTTCAAGCTTTATCTTCTCTTACTTCATCCCCAAGCCAAAGCATCAATCTTTCTTTTTTTCCACTATTGACAGAGTGTGTTTAGTCCCTTGTGAAATTTCCCCTAAACACTCACTTGTCACTGACAGTAATCTTCCTATAGTTTCTGTACTGATATTTCTCAGTTCCTAATTTGTTTCACTATTTGGTAATTGCAGAGTGAATGGCGTGCTATAGGAGTTCAGCAAAGTCATGGATGGGTCCACTATGCTATTCATCAATGTGGGAAGAGTGGGAAATGTACTTACTGAGCAAAATTGAAATCAGCAATGTGCAGACACCTCAAAAGAAGAAACAAAATACTCCCAAGGGTTTCGGGATTCTTGATGGAGTAGTTCCGGTAACTACAATACAGAGCTCGGAGGGTAGCAGTGTTTGCAGACAAGAGCATGAGGTTCTTATGGCTGCTCAACCTCTATCCGCAAGCTAGGGAAGACAACGGCTTCTGGAAATAATATTCCACAGGCTCAAGTTGATAAGGCTTCCAGTACCAAAGCAAACGCTAAGAAAGAATCATCAAGTCTTCCGAGACCCATAAGAAGTTGCAGTAAGAAAAAAAACTAGTGAACCTGAAATAGACAAGCTTAAAAAATGAAGAAAATGTTTGATTCATTGTTTTAGTAGTGTTGTCTGGTTCTTGAGTGAGTGAGTAGAGATTACAGGTTTGTTGCAGATTTGAGACATGTTGAGCTCTTTGAACAACTAAAGATGATGTCACTTTCACTTTATGAAGTAAAACTAATAATAATTTACAAATGATT